TATATATATATATCTAAAGGAATGTTCAAAATATTTGAAGTACCGATTAAATGCATACTGGGCAGTGTAACTTGACCTTAAAAAACATTGATGTAGGGCATACCGGGCAGTGACACTTAACGAGACCTAGTATATATTTCGAACATTTGTCAAGGCGACTATGTGATTGTCAACATTCACCGGTGGAAGTCAACAACCCCAAACTTCGGTCATTCACTCTTCATGTCTCTAATGTAATATTTACAAAAATTGTAATGTTTCGATTATGCTTTTTAAAATTTATTTCCTACGAATTTCATGTGTGAATTGAGTTAGATATGTTGAGTTCAATTAAACATTAAAAAAATTAGGGCTATTATACATTTTAGAATATTGAGATTTACAGCTATATTGGTGACTACGTTGAAAAGTAGATTGGAGTCTCATTGGTTGCTATATTCGATTTCTTAGAGACGGTCATACCCTTTTCATGAACTATCCTTTCATTAGTTATGAGAAAGCAAGAGAGAAGGACTAGGAAATAGAGGACTTCAAAAAGCTTGGAAGGGATTGGTAAAAAGAATTAATCTCTCTCTTAGACATTAACATTTGTTTGAAGTGTTTTATATTTGAATTTAAGAATTATGTGTGCAATATACAGGGTTATTCATAATTCCCTCCTGGGTTTCGAAGTGTTATAGTGAAAATAGAAGACGAATATGGCAAAAAAGCACATATGAAATAATTCCGAAAGTAATCAAGTTTTAATTTAAGAAGTTGCCGGTAGATGGCAGTAACATGAATCACTGAAGCCAGTTGTAGTAAAGAAAAATGGCGTTTACAGGAGGAGGGAATTATGAATAACCCTATATAATGAATCTAAATAATACGTATGCTGTAGATATATGTATTTTTGGTTCTTTATAAACAAAAAGTAATCTGCTTTCGAGTTTGCCCCACGGTCAGTTTATGTTTTCGGACTACTAAAGTGTCCATCTCTCTTCTATGAGGTTTTTATTTAGTTCTATAGTACATACAAGATGATCACAGGGCATGATTTTCAAGAGTATTCCTTAATATAATTAACATTAATTGTCCAAGAAAATAGTTTTGGTGCTTGAAGAAATTATTATTTGTTGAAGAGGATATTGAATGACGTAGTTTTCAGTTGTCCATCCGATATGTGACGTCAGCAAGAAATTATTTATCAAAAATCATATTGCTTAGTAAAGAATCAAATGATAATGAATAAAAATGCTTTATTTTAAAATATTCATGTGGAGCTCCAAAGTAAATATTAATTTTAATTTTTAATACAAAATTTACATTATCGAAAAGGGGGCCCGGTAGTTGCGTCTGCAGTGCCGAATTCAGCGCACGCGGGGCCCTAGGAAATTCAAATTTTTGGGGCCCCTACATGAAATTTTTTTTTCTCGTATATTTCTTATTTATTCAAATATAAAAGTATTTATAGATCTTTTCATTTAAGAAAGCATATTAAAAATTAAAATAAATAATAATACATTAAATTTTATTTTATTTTCTTAAATTAAAACTAAAAAATAATCATATCTTAAAAAACATTGATAAATCTTATAATACATAAACTATAATAATACTTTTAAGTAATAACTAAAATAAGTAATAAATAAATATGATTAACATTATGTAAAAAAATTATCGTATTTTATTAATATATATTTGAAATTTTTTTTTTTTGAAAATCATTGTTATTCCTAATTTTTTAAAATTTATTTTCAAAAAATCCATTTCAAGGGAGCCTTTAATCACCAGGCCATGGCCTAGTCTTACTTAAAGGGTAAGCCAGCACTGCTGCAGGGCTAAGCTCAACAGCATACCTCCGTCCACCAAAAAATGTGAGTGTCACGTGTACATTAGCATAGTTTTCGCCAAGGAAAGTTAAAGAATCTATCTATTAGCTATTAATTGATTAAATTTTACGCCAACGCTCTGTTTCTTAGCTTTATACATTCAAATGTGTTGGCGGAAAAGAAAGTGTAAGAAATAATAGCAAATTTTTATGAAATCAAAACATTGGCAACCATATAACGGTTTTCGAATTCTATGCTAACGTGTTAGACAGATGTAGAGAGATTAAAATAGTTTTTCTTCAGCACTCAATTCGAGGTGGTGGAATAAAAAAATATTACAGATTATATTAACGATTTTTATTTATTGGAAAAGGATTAAATAGGAAAATAATTCGTTTTTCTTCGCTTGTTAATTGTTCGATTTTCTTTGTTAGGAAATATGTTATGCATATTTCAGCATGGTCATTAATATACGAATAAATACTTTCAATATATAATATATATAAAAAAAGCACAGATGAACTCATTTTTCTTTAATTATTTATAATTTATTTCAAAGTTTACATGGCCAAATTTTACTTTGCATTCATGATTAAATAAATTATGAGTATACAGATTGAGGGTAATGTAGAGTAGACACAAGTATGATTTACTTTAACTTTAAAGTTTTCAACTCAGTGAGTGGCAATGCAATAATACAACAATAGATTTAAAATTATTAAAAAAGAACTTCTTTTGTTGTGATAAAAATTTTATTCTATTTATTGATAATATGTAAATATAAGTTATTTTATCAAATTGTCATGTGCTATCATAAGAAGTTATCTATATATTACTCTGCATACGCCTCCACATAAGAGTCCGACGATCTGGTGACCCGGACGTGACACTTCTGACTCCAGATAAGAAGGTTGCGTGTTCAAGTCACGTCCGGGTCACCCATTAGGGGATTTAAATATCGACTATGTTGACCTTCATCTATCTAAAGCAGGGTTTCTTAACCTGTGGTTCATGAACCCCTAAGGGGTCCATGAGTTATATTTTAGGGGTCCGCTGACTACTCCGAATTTTTAAAACGTTTGGAAGCCTACCCATTGCTTGTAAAGCGANGTTTACATGGCCAAATTTTACTTTGCATTCATGATTAAATAAATTATGAGTATACAGATTGAGGGTAATGTAGAGTAGACACAAGTATGATTTACTTTAACTTTAAAGTTTTCAACTCAGTGAGTGGCAATGCAATAATACAACAATAGATTTAAAATTATTAAAAAAGAACTTCTTTTGTTGTGATAAAAATTTTATTCTATTTATTGATAATATGTAAATATAAGTTATTTTATCAAATTGTCATGTGCTATCATAAGAAGTTATCTATATATTACTCTGCATACGCCTCCACATAAGAGTCCGACGATCTGGTGACCCGGACGTGACACTTCTGACTCNATTTTAAAAATTCTGTATATTACTAAAATAATAAAATTAAATGTTTTCTAATAATTGATGTTTTTTGCAATTATTTTTTTTCACAGGGGGGTGATCTGTGACTTCTTAAAAAATTTTTAAAAGGGGCCCATTATATCAAAAAGGTTAAGAAACACTGATCTAAAGGTACCTCACGTTAGAATCAAGTTAAAACGTTTTATATGCTAGTGAATTGGTATTTAATATTTATAGTGGTAGCTACGCTACATTAATTAAAAATAAAAACTTTTCTTTTGAATACACATAATCACGGCGTAACGTTACAATAATATATTATACTGTAGATCAGTATAATGTGCTTTCGTTTTATTGAATTGACATTGCAATAATTTTCGGTGTGTTTTAGTCAAGGTTTGAATGCAAAAATGTTATTCCTGTTTAATGGGCGTTACAGTATCATGAACCCTATTCAGTATAGTATTGTATTGTATGGTGTGTTTAAGATACGATACGATAAGAAATACAATTATTGCACATTGATTGTTTTGTAATAATAAATTAAATGAGAAATGCATCGGATAAAAATTATGGATTTTCTTTAATTCTGTAGTGGCATTTTCGTTTTTGCTCTACTGTCAGGTTTGCTTACATTTAGATGAAAGCAATATCCTATAATTTTATAATTCAAAATAGGAAAGAATAATGCATTTGGTAAAATATATAAGGATTATTTTTCACTTTTTAACTTATTATTCAGTTATAATGGCCCATTGGGAAAAAATCCGGATGTAATTACGGTAATATTTACTGTAATACTTTCTGTAAAATCACATAATCACTGCAATTCAATAAATATTAATGTGAAAATTACGGTGTGAAATCTTACGGTATAAAACTTTAAGGAAAAAAAGTAGATTTTCTATAAATAGAAAGAAATAGAATAGATTAGAATCTCAGGGTAAAATTTTACGATTTAAGACATTAAGGGAAAAAATGGATTTTTCGGATCTCAGGGTGTTAGATCTGAATTCTTTTACAGTGTAGAATCTTTTTAACAAAATTCGTGATGCAAATGTCGATGTATTCAGATAGTTTGTTTAATAAATCAGAGATTGATATGACAGAGTACGTAATTTTATACCGTAATATTTTCTGTGAAATCACATAATCACTGCAAATAAATAAATATAAAAATTACGGTGTAAAATTTTACGGTATGAAATTTTAAGGAAAAAAAAGTATTTAACGGATTTCAGGGTGCCAGGACTTTTGGCCGTAATTTTATCCGGATTCTTTTACAGTGTAGATCTCTTTTTAACAAGTTTCATGGTGTAAATGTAGATGAATTCAGATAGTTTGTATAATAAATCAGAGACTGATATGATAGAGGATCCAATCCAAATGCCCAGGAATCCACCGATGTTGCTAAATAATTCCATTGGCTAGAAATATCAATACAAAATTAATATTACAATGTATTCTTTTCATTAAAGAAGAACGAGAAAGTAAAAAGAAAATATATTTATATACATATGTAGTAGAACAAAACTTATGGATACAAATGGGCACTTATTGAATTCTACGTAATTGAAATGATACCAATTGAATTCTATGGTAGGAAGGTACTTTATTTACGTCACACTGGAGCGGCGCAATAGGCTATTGGAGTCGGTCTTGGAAACATTCCTGAGGAGGATCCGAAGACATGCCATCTCAATTTTGATCCTCTGCAGAGGAGATGGCTTCTCCGCTTTGGTAGCCCGACGACCTTCTGGCGAAGTCGATCACTTTACAGTAGAACAGTTTAACGAGGTCCAATAATGCTCTCCCTCGGTCCCTTCGGAGGTAGTGGTCAAAGTGGTCACCCACCCGCTTACTGATAGCTGGTGGTTTAGTATATTCATGACTTCGGTGTTTTACTGAGAGCCGCGTCATTACGATCAGTCCATCATTTCTTCGGAATTGAATGGATATTAATTTAATGTGGTTCAAATATTGTATTTTTTTTCCAGTATTACAGTTGCATTCCAAAAGTTTTGATAAAATATTTTCCTCATGCGCCAAAATGAAATAACCTGTATACATTATAAACGTGCATTTCCAAACTATTCAATAAATTTTCTAATACAACTTTTGCTTCTTCTCATTAAAAGGAATTTGATAGTAGGCAAATATAAAAACGTTGCCTCAAGAGTTCAAGTAGATCCTCATATAATTAACAAAGATGTAGCTTTTTCAGATGCATCGTCATTGACGTGAAAGAAAAAAGTTTGGTATTCTTTAATTTTTTTTAAAAATTGCATTCATTTTAAAATAATTTTTTTTCATATACGCAAACACGATAACTCTTTCAGTTTTAATCCGACTAAATTAGAAATTTTAAATCAAGCATGTATTTTAGTCATTTGTATCGTTAAAAAATCAGTCTTCTCTTAATTTTGTTAAATTCATGATCATACACTCGTGATCGTTCTCATGACCATACATACACTCATTAACGATAATTCCAACTCCGGCAATTAAAGTTTCAGAAACAAAACATACGTAACTTATTCATAAGGCCCATTTATTTAACATGAGATAAAAAACAAAAAAAGATGGCATGATACCATTCATAAAAACTACGATTTTTGCACCCTGGATCAGTTATAAAAAACATCTCCTTTACAAAAACTTAATATTACATGGTTGGTATAATGGTTAATGCATTAAGTGTCTTGTGCCTTCCATGCAATATTGAGTATTAGAATATTGAGCTGTTCTTGGGGAAGATGACTACACTCAGCAAGCAAAGATCTCTAAAGTTCCTGTACAAGTTCCGTCAACGATCTTCAACTCGTCGGTCAAACCTATCACGTCCCACACGCGCTTCATCGGATTCAAGTCAGGTTTAAATGCTGGCCATTTAATGTGGGTGATGCCCTTAGTTTACAAGGATTCGCTTTGGATGTTTGCAGGGTGAGGACAGGCGTTGACAGCCATAAACAGAAATTCTGCTCCCATTGCACCCCTAAACAGACGTACATATTGTTCCAGTATTTGTCCTGTCATGGTTTTGGTTTGAACATGAAATCTGTTCCGGAGATGAGTGTAATACGATCCCTAATGAGTAATCCTGCACCAGCATGACGGTGTCATTCAGTGAAGTTATATTGGTGGTAGCGGGTATCTGCGTTTTCCACACGAGAGTTCAGTGCGAATCAGACTGTAGCTAAACCTTTACTCGTAGGAAAATAACACACAAACCCACTGTGATGATGTTAGAATTTCATATTTTCTACTTCACGCATATTGATGGTGACAGTGGCTCCATCGATATCCCTGCAGCGGCCGTGAGTGGAACGCATCTCACAGGATATATGACCGAGCATATAGACCAATATTTTTCCAAACATCAGCAAGCGAGCCATGGTGGCTCAGGGGATAGAGCATTCGCTATCCAGTGAAGTGAACTGGGTTCGAATCCCAGAAATGGATGGTCAATACGAATTCCGCACCCGGCTTGTACCGACCACAGATCTGATATATGACATAAAATTATTTTATTACCTGAGTGTATTGGAATTAGTTTCATGTACAAAATGTTACGAAAACCACGATAAAACTATCGAACAATACGCTAAAAATTAAAATTTTTTGTGATATGAGTAAAAATAACTCAATATGGTTTCTTAAAATTAAATAATTGTTTTTTTTTTTAAAAAGAATTTTAATTGTATTTATGAGTTTTCTTTCTTTTCAGTTATATTTTTCTCAGCAAAGATTTAATTTTCTTCTTCTAATTAAAGCTTGGGGTTTAGTAATTTAAACCCGGCTTTTCAGAACGTTTTCCTTGCTTTTGCGACTGCATTTTATTTTTTGAGAAACCAGGATTATCACCGATAGTTCCTACGGGAAAATAAACCCCAGTTTTTACAAATTGTTGTATTTAAAGCAAACTTGACTTACCAGCACTTTTGGAACAAAGTGGATGATTCTGATCTTTGCATTTCTGAATGACACTCCGAGATATATAAATTGAGTGCTGTAAATCGAAAGCATAATGAATATTGCTTCACTAAAATATTTCGAAAATTAAATGCTACAATGAAACTAGTTTAATTCTAATTATTAGAAACATTCTAGTTATTTATAAAATATCTTTTAAAACAACCCCAATTTCCCCCCCGCCATTCCTACTCAGATATTGTCCGTCGTCAATCTCGTAAGGGCATCGTAGTAGGTGAGCCAACGTTGTAAGAAGCGCGGTAAGAAGGACAGGTAGTATAGGTAAGTACTTTATTTACGTCGCACCAGAGCTGCACTATGGGCTATTGGCGACGTTCTGGGAAACAGCCCTGAGGATGGTCTGAAGACATGCCATCTAAATTTTGATACCCTGTAGGGAGGAATGGCTCCCATGCTTTGGCAGTCCAACGACCTACGTGCGAAGTTGAGCACTTTACGGTAGAACAGTTTAGCGAAGATCAATACCTCTGTCCCAACTCAAACTGATCAAAGTGGTCACCCATTCGCTTACTGACCACAGCCAGTGATGCTTGACTTCGGCGTTCTACTGGGGACCGCTTCTTTACGATGAGTCCACTGCGGGATGCAGGCAGTGTAGAGACGAGAAAAAAAGAACATTCATGTCTAATCCAAGATTCGATTCCAAGACCTTTGTGTCTCGAGGTCAGCTCTCCTGCCATATAGGTCGTTTGGCCTTTTAAAGTTGTAGAAAAACATCATTTAACGAAACTAAAGATTTTTCTACCAAAAATTCAAAAAAATGATGAGCGTCACGTGATTTTGTTAAAAGCACGAGAAACAAGATAAAAAACGGAAATGAAATAATTTTCTTTTCTTCTGTACTTTGAATGAAGCGTTTTTTTATGAACATCTCGAATTTTGATGATATTTAATGTGCGATGATTGTACGATGCTGAGTACGGTGAGCTGAACGGTGTACTATACAGCAAAGTATGCAAAATGTAAGTCGATAAGTTGATGTTCGGATTTTTTTTGTTTAGGTGCTGCATAACAATACATTTGGAGATTTTACAATTTTTTTACAATTTTTTTTTTTNTATATATATATATAAACACGCAGCTTGTACAATATAGTGACGTATACTTTAAGTGCTATTCACCCTCGTCTCCCTTAAAGATTGAATGTAGCTGTTAAAGTAATTCTTAATGAATACTTACAGTGGTGCAAGTCCCGGAGGTTATACCCGCATCGAACTCTTAAACGGTCAACCATTTAGCATTCATGGAACTAAAATATCCTGTCTGTATCTCAACGCGTTGCGAGGGTAAAACGTCTTTATAAGGCCAATTGCAAACAGAGAGGATAGTGGACCGAATGTTAGAAATCACTCAAGGTACTAGATTTAAGGTCGCACTAGAGCTGCATAATGGACTATTGACGACGGTCTGGGAAGCATATTTGAAGATGATCCGAAGACATACCATCGCAATTTTGATCCTCTGCAGAGGGGATGGCTTCCGTGCTCTGGTAGCCCGATGACCTGAGCGTAAAGTCGAGCACTTTACGGTTGAACAGTTTAAAGAGAACCGACGCCGCGTCCCTTGGTTTCTACGCAGGCTGATCAAAGTGGTTACCCACCCGCTTACTGACCACAGTCAGTGATGCTTGACTTTCTGTGTTCTTCTGGGAATCGTGTCTTTATGATCAGACCACTGAGGAAGGCGAAATCATTCAAAGAAAATCTGCGTAGGGACCAAGGGTGTGAGTTATTGCTCTTCGTTAAACTGCTCTACCATAAAGTGCTCGATTTCGCGTTCAGATCGTCGGGCTTCCGACGCAGGGGTGCCATTCCCTCTGCAGAGGATCAAAATTGCGATGGTATGTCTTCGGATCATCCTCAGATATGTTTTCCAGACCGTCGTAATTAGCCTGTAGTGCAGCTCTAGTGCGACGTAAATGAACTACAAAAGGATTCAAAATGTCTGAAAGTTGAGAAAACGACCTAGAACCGTATTTTCAATGACATCTTTTGAGGAAAACCAGCGTGACTGGGTGCAGACATCGCAAATGTTACTGGAGAAACTAAACAAATTTGTTAACGAATATCGGAGTTAACGGGTCAAACATCATGGCAATAATAAAGATGATGAATTTGGCAGTGGATTTTTCGAGCATAATTTCACGTAAAAACGAGGTCGGCAATTCATTAAGGGACGACAGCTAGAGGCCGAAAGAGTGTTGAATGAAATCCTCATGTCTAAGAGGAGGAAATCTAAGTTACGCGAAGAGGCGATAAAAATTGAGCAGGAAACTCATAGATCCAAGAAGAGGAAATGTGATGGTGAAGTCAGCAGATGGAAAAACTCCGGAAAAAGTGGAAGAGGTGATTCAGAGTAAAATTACTTCTCGGGAACTCGAGCTTAAGGTAAGGGAGCTTAAAATAACTCTGAAAGGAGAACTCGTGGCTGAATCCGGTCTCCAGACTAGACATGGCTATTCTAGAAGAGTAGATAGAAGAGAAATGCTCTTGAGGAGGGATTAATTTATGAAGCACCTACCAAGATGAAGTCCCCAAATCATCATATTTGGGCCTTACAAAAGAATAACAGAAGAAAACAGCATCGTTCACATCTGAGATAATAATGTCAACTTTAAAGAAGGTGAATTCGAAATCCTAAATCAAGACAATGAAATGTGTTCACTGGGAAATCATTTCGAAGTCGGAGATTTTTGTATAGAATACATGGTGAGAGAATGCCAACATGAAGACATCTGCTCGAGCTATGACGGCACTGGGCATTATGCGAAAGATTGCAGGGTGAAAAAACTACGTGTCTATTGTCACGACAAGAATTTAAAGCTTAGATCGACAGTGAGAACCGGCTATATTGCACTAAGCAAGGCCTGCACACCATACCAACGAGCTATAATCAGATTACAGAAAAGAACAAGCTACTAGTCCTGATTTTTTTTTAGCGGCAGGGAATGAACGTATCGTTTTTTCATGGAAGGTGCCGGTAGTGTTGATCATCTTACGTTGCCTGGTGAGCACCTTGTGGCCAAAGTCACGAAGGCGAGCAACATTACCCACTCCTAACATACCCGTTCATAGGATGGGCCATATTCACACAACCGAGCATTGAGAGAAACAGTCATGTCCCGAGAGGGATTCGAACCCGCGGCCACTGTCTTCTCAGTAAGACGCACTAACAGCTCCACCACTTGCCGACACTGTTCCTAAACTGATATCCAACTCAACATGGTTGTTTTGTAAGCCGTCGACTCACTGTGTCATCTGTCGAATGAGCTCTACGGGTCTGGTTGCTATACCTTTACGTATCTAATATGGACACTGGTATTGAAGCAGACTGGGGCTGTTATCAAAATGAATCTCGTTGCCACAGGTTAAATACGGTGCTAGTACCCACACATCATCGAGTGAATGCCATTTAAATATGGAGCTCTTACACGCAGGACATCGCATGGATGCTGCCTAAATACGTTGCTCGTACACATAGGTCATCGAGTGGATGCTGCTTAAATACGGCACTCGTACAAGAAAAACATCGCATGAATGCTGCCTAAATACGTTGCGCGTACATATAGGTCATTGAGTGGATGCCGCGTAAATACAGCACTCGTACAAGAAAGATATCGCATGGATGCTGCCTAAATACGTTGCTCATGCACATAGGTAATCGAGTGGATGCCGCTTAAGTACCGCAGTAGTACGCGCAAGACATTGCTTGAATACTGGCTAAATATGATGCTCGTAACGGAAAGGTTAACATAAATGTTGACCCATGCATATTATAAAGAGCGTTGAGTAAAAATTTATCTCAATTTTTACTTGGCATCCACATCAAAAATAAAAGCAAAGCTGTTATTCTTATTGGTGACGCAAATTAATATTTAAGCCCCCTCCAAAAAATGAAAGAAAACTTTTTCGAAAGAAAGTAAATCACAGTGCAAGAAGGAACACGCAAAAAACATCAAAACAGGTTTAGTCGGAAGTTGAAACACTAAACTATTTCTGATAACCAACTACGAACTCTTCTCTGTTTTCACCCGCAATCAAACCTGTCTTGTTGTTAATTACTTACACCTTCATGTACCGTGTTTCTTTCAAACTTACGATGGCCTTTTCGTTTTTTTTTCTTCCTGGAATAAACATTAATGAATAACAATCATTGAATTTGGTAAAAAGCATTAAAGAATAATTTATTTACTCTTAAGAAAACATACATACAAACATACAAAGTGAAATGAATTGAAAACAACTTACTTATTATAAAGTCTAGGATAAAGTGCTTTTCTTTGCTGATAATTGTATTTTAGGTTCTATAAAAAATTTTTTAAATAAATATTAATCCTCCGTCTGTGGTAAAAAATGAAGAATAAAGAGTTATAAATAGATTATTGTTTTCGATTTAGTCGTCGCGACAGAGAATTAACGAGTCTTACATTAGTAGTGAAATAAAAAGTTAGCCCTTATATTGATTGCTAAGTATTTAATATTCTCTTTTTATAAAATGTAATAAAAATTAAATAATTGGTTCAATTTAATTCGATTAAGAATATTTAAAAAAATTAATTTCAGGAAATTGAAGAAATTTTAAAAGCTAGGAAATATGTAATGCCTAATGTGGCATCACAGTACTTATACTTAGTTGGGTATTACATTTGAATAAAAAAGCAAAATAGTATAACATAAGAACTCGTTTTGCATATGGACTTAAAGAAAGAAAAACAATTACGCTTTTATGAGATTAAAAACGAGAATGTAGATTTCGAAATATTTATTAAATTTTATTAATTTTAAAGCAAATAATATTCAACCGAAAAAAACATACCCCTAGATCATTATGAAAATGCTTGTATTTGAAAGATCGAGTCCTGCAAAGGAAATTTTTTTTTATAATACCACTGTTTAAGTTATAAACTAAATTATTTGCTTAAAAGTATCTGTAAAGCATTGCATATCATTTAATAATATCAAGTGCCTAATAAAATCTGTTAGAAAAATCAAGTGCTTTTTTTAAACTTACACGATATTTTTTTCTTCGCATTTTGCAATCATTAATACACATTAACACTAATTTACATTTTGCACATTATTATTCAAAAATACAGACTTATTATTACAGTTGTGTTAGTAAAATATACACTAAATTAAGAAATAAAAATTTAACTTAATTTTTATGAAAAAATATAAATTTTGTTAGATTAAGGTTAATACTCATGCGAAAACTGATTAATGATTGAAAATTGCAAGACAAAATGTTACTTTTATGTAGATTTGCTTAAAAGTGGTGGTGGTACTTATTCCTCTGGGCCCAGAACAAGGCTAGACCAAATCCAGGAGACAGTTCACCGACAGAAAATCGAACACCATCTGCGGATCCTCCAAAATAAAATTTTTCTCCTGTCCCATACAGGTCAGCAAATGATCAGGTGAAGCCTGGTGAGCACTACATTTTAGGCATACAGGGAACGTCTTTTGATCCTGAACAAAGTTAGTCAGCGGGTATGACCAGTGATTAGTCTTGTGATAGCTGTCTGTAGTTTCTTATCACCTTTTAGCTCCAGGGCAGCCCCAGGACGATTTTGTTGATACCATTCACTACTAGGTGGAATCCTCCAAGTCCTATTATTGTCGGCATTTACTTTTGCATAGATTTCATTGCATGTTAGAAGACCACTACTATCATTGGAGCCCTCCTTGGCCAGTTCATCGGCCAGATCATTAAAGTGAAGTTTCTCGTTCGCTTAAAAGTAAGAGGGACAAATGATAAACGGGGGAGTTCCGGTTAGCTCAATTACTATAAACAAGCACATTATTCGCAAGATCAATGGAAAAAGTAGACTTCCAGCGACTGGCAATCAAAGAAGAAATATTTAAACAAAATTTGACTAACTCCGGTTAGATTTGGTACTGCAAGAAGGTGACCGCATTGACTAGGATCTAATGTCCATTTCAACTTTACAAAAATTCTTCTCGACGTGTGCAAGCAAGGTGTAATGTCCTTATTTGGATCGAAACAATCAAAACATAACTTTAAACTAATGGAACAAAGTTATATTTGCATCAATGAATTCATGCTTGCTGGGAGAATGTGTTTAAAGAAAGGTTGTAATGAAGAGCCTAGTAATGGCATTAAAATATGACATAGGAAGATGATAATATTATGGTCGGTGAGGGGAGAGTTGTTATCGACAATACCACCTTCATCTATGAAAAGGTACCCCACCATAGAATCGAGTTAACATGCCTAATGTACTAGTGAATTGGAATTATATTTTTGTAGTGATAGATACACTATAGTACTACCCCCCAGATATATATCTGTAATAGAATTCAATGAACTGATACCACTAGTTGATTCATTGAAATTTTGTGAGAATCCGGGAGAGCTGTAATAAGTTCATGGTCGTGGTAGATCCTGTGTTGACAATAGCAGTCGAGTGTACATAGGCCAGCGTTGTGTGTGATCGAGACTGAGTAGCAACAGTGAGAGGAGGTGGATAATGCATCAGTCACAAGTAGCACGCCAACTGTTCAATGTGGATCATCCATCAAAGTAGGCGTGTTCAAATCGAAGCTGAAGTTTCAGTCAAGGTAGTGTGGGTGTTTATACTGAAGTGGGAGTTTTTGTCAAGGTAGGCATGCTCATATCACGTCTGGGTCACCAATGTGGGGAGAATTGTTATAGACAATACCAGCCTTAATCTATGAAAAAGTACCTCATCATAGTATAGAGTAAACATGTCTTAGATACTAGTGAATTGGAATTATATTTTTGTAGTAGTAGATACACCACAGTCTGCAATGTTTTTCGGAGGGAAAAAAGGTTGGAGATTTGGTGCAAATAAGATCAACATTTGTTAAAAATTGTATGTGTTTGTGCGTCTCAGAGAAAAATTATATTAGATAAAGAGGTTTATTTTGTTTAACAAAATGAGGACCTTAATCATATCTAAGCAATTATTTGAAATCAAAAAAGGAGGAAAAGTTTTTACAATTGATGCCATGACTTCCGCAATCTTCCTACCTCAATACGATTACGAAACTGAGGAATGAGTTCATGAATTTCAAGTTATTAATTCCGTAGTCCACAATAATGGTTCCTTAGATTATGAAAGACTTTTTTTTTCTTTCGTTTAACTATTAATACTTGACTTCTAACGAGTTCGAGGTACGAAACTTTTTCAAGTTAAACTACTTCATTTTTATCAAGTATTCTAAAATTATATATTACGAGAGAATTTTTGAGAACACTCTGCTTAACAGTTCTATGATTTTATGCTTCGATTACTGTTGCAAATAAGCAGTCTAAAATTGACAATTCAAAGAAAATAAACAATTCAATATTTGTATCATGGGCTTAAGATAAAAAAGATATATATTAAATAAATACATTTTTCTTAAGATTAGGACAACCTTCGTCATGAAAATTACTTACACACACGGAGTATTGCTGCACTTTTTCAAACAACTGTCCCAATTTTCTTTTGTGACTTTTTCACCTGAAAAATACAACAAAAGTTTTTGATGCAACCTAATGAAAATTTTGGTTCTTAAACCCGGCTTACTTGGAATCTAAAGAATTAATGAAGGAATTATTCAAAAAGTTAAGTGAACAACTTTTCCCACCAGTGAGAAGAAAATGACTAAACTTTAAAATTGGAACCGTGACGGCTCAAGGAATAGAGGGTTCGCCTTCCAATGAGGTGAACCAGGGTTCGAACTAAGCCATGGCTGGTAGATGCGAATTCCACATCCGACTTGTGCCGACCACAGTGTTGACGTAAGATATCCTCAGTGGTTGACGGATCATGGGTTAGAGTCAATTTGCGCTAAGGCTAACCAGGGGATGTTTTCGTGTTTTATTCTATCGATGTAACGCAAATGCGGGTTGGCTCCATCAAAATAGCTCTCCACGAAGGCAAAATTTTTACCAATAATTTATCCAGGAGTTCCTTTGTCATCTGGGTTGGGTTCAAAATTACAAGGCTACAGAATTAAACATAAATAGTCGTAAACCCCAAAAAATTGGGTCGGCTATTCAACGACGGTTATAAAATAAAGCATGAAAATTATTAAAATCTAATACTATTTTAACGGGAGTGTCGGAAATGTTGAATTGGGTACAACATTTTGGTCATTTATAAATTTATTTTCAAGTTTTAAAAGTTAGGAGAATTCCATTTTCTCTGGCGGTTCCTTTGTTGTTTGGCGTGGATTTTGGTGCAAAAGTAGTTTTGAAAGATCTCTTAACCTGGCCGAAATGCGATGAACGGTTTTCCCACTTCCATAGTAAAAACGATTGAAAAAATTATTATAAGATAAATGGTTAATAAATGATTATTATAATGGGAGAATAAGGTTTCCGCTATCTTTTTTAAATTTATGATTTTTATGCCTCCTCATTCATCAAACACTTTCAGTTTTGAGACTCTGAGATACTACATTCTACTGACTTAATTTTGATTTTATTGATTTTAGATAATCTGAATTTTACGTCTGATTATATTTGCATCAGATAATTCTGACGATTTTGCCACCAATATGGTAAAAATAAAGCAAGCGGTCACATTGTTTTTTAAGGTCACAAATTTTAGATTTTATGATCTAATATAGGGAGATAAAGAAATAATGATCCTCTAACAATAATGTGTAAATAACTAAAACATCAATATGTAAATAACTTTAAGAGCAATCTGCAAAAAAAAAATGCTTAGAGAACTGATATAGTTAAAAAAATTTTCAAATTGCTTTTAAAGAAAATTGTTAACATTTTCCAAAAGAGTGGAATATTTCACGAAATTTCTCCTAATGTCAATAAAAATTTTTTTAGAGAAAGTGTTTAAGCAATAACTCATTTCCCCTTTCCTCCAACGTTTTCTGTAAATTTTTATTAACTTCACAGTTTTTAAAATATAAATACTGTGTCAACAATTTGTTTTATCTGCTCAGTAATCACACTTACCTCTCTTACACAATGTGGCCATGTGACTAATACTTATTGAATGGGGAGCACATCCATATTGTTCCATGTGAAGACGGAAGGAGCAAGTTTCTATGCAATCCTAAAAAAATGCAAATAAAATATAATTCAAGTTTATGTTTTAGATCGGGCGAGTTTCGCGATAAGGAGCCACTTGGATCGTATCAAAATTTCTTTAGCTTTTGAAATGTAAGCTAATAACATTTAAAACAAAACACTTACGCTGGAATTTTTAATTCGATCATAATTTTGACATCAATTATTTAAACAATTATGTCACGAAAGCAACAGAGCTATTTAGAAAGGGAAAAAATAACCAAAGCGGAAAATATTTAAATCTTTACTAACAATTGGTGATCGAAATGTGCTACAGGGAGCGTAGAGCAGAACTACACTGGTGTGCAAAACTTAAGCAACAAGTGGTTTTTCGGCCACAGCTCCCCAACAAAGCATAAGATAGCCATGAAATTGCAGCATAATATGCATGTAATTCAGTAGAAAGATTATTTGTATGCAAATTTTAGAAATAAAACGTCGTAGGTGATGTAAGTGTACATAAACCTTGTGGGTCGGCGCGCGCAGGTCAAAGCTGTGATAAAAGGATAAAGAGCACCGTAGTTAAAGACATTCGCTTCAAGTGCAAGTGATTCGTTTTGTGAAACAAGTCTTCAAGAAATCATTTAGACGACTTTACTCGAGGAAAAATGATTGGGAAGCTTGAGGAGGGGCGTAATGTGACCAGTGTCACCGAAGAGTTCGGGCTCAACAAAAGTGTTGTTTCTCGTACTTGGAATGCCTTTAAAACTACTGGTACAGCTGTTCGGAAGGTTGGTCGTGGCCGTCCAAGGAAAACAACACCAAGAGATGACCGTTACATTGTCCTCCAGGCGAAAAGAAACCGTTTGCAGTCAGCGAATGCCATATCTCAGCAACTGTGCACAGCCTCAGGACGACAAGTATCAAGATTTACAGTGACCAGACGCCTCCACAAAGGTGGCTTATTTGCTAGACGTCCTGAACGCTGCATACCTTTAAAAGTTAGCCATCGGCGGCACCGTTTAGAGTGGTGCAGAGAACACGAAACCTGGACACCTCATCAATGGAGTCGCGTCCTCTTCACAGATGAGAGTCGTTTTAGTGCTACAAGCGATTCTCAACGTCAGTTGATCTGGAGAGAGGTTGGAGCTCGATTTCATCCCAATAACATCGCGGAAAGAGATCGTTACGGTGGTCCTGGAGTTGTCGTCTGGGGTGGCATTATGTTGAACGGGCGGACTGAGCTTCAGATCTTCGACCGAGGTTCTGTAACTGGAGACCGCTATTGCAATGAGGTAATCCTACCCCATGTGCGTCTGTTCCGAGGGGCCATTGGACCAGACTTCATTTTTATGGATGACAATGCCCGGCCACACCGTACTGCTAATGTTCAAGAGCTACTGGAAAGTGAAGATATCACACGAATGGATTATTCAGCTTACTCTCCAGATCTAAATTCCATAGAGCATGTGTGGGATGCATTAAGGAGACGTCTTGCGACTCGACAGTATCCTCCTGGTAACACCCATCAGCTGAAAGATGCGTTAAAGGAGGAATGGAGACGTTTACCCCAAGAACTCCTGGGAAATCTGGTGCTTAGCATGGAGAAACGATGCCAACCAACAATTACAGTAAGGGGAGGGTATATCCCATACTAGGGAACATCTGCCAATTGTACTTACGCTTCTTCAGGCAATCATGTGTAACGCCACACTATGTCAAATAAAGCCTTTTTTTGTTCCATACCCTACTTTAAGCTGCCCTACTTATTCATTTCTGCGCCATTATTCTTTTACCATCGTTTAAGTACAAAATAATGTACATCATATTCAAATTTCATGTCAATCGGATGATTTTTTGTAGAGTTATGAAAAAAAACGCACTTGTTGCTTAAGTTTTGCTCACCAGTGTATATGGAACTCCACCAATGGCAACACTTTTAATGCTTTCACCATTAGCGTGTGGAGAATCATAGCAGAAGGAAGTACGTTAATTTCTGTCTTGATTTTAATTTAGATTAAAATTTTTTAAGTCGGGAAACTAGATGAGACTGAAAACTACGTTAAACATAGTTCTAAAAGAAAGCACATGGAAAATTAAAAAAAAAATATTTTTATTAATTAAGAACGAAAAATATTAAGAAAAATCTAAAACATTGTAATACATTCCTATACAACTGAAAAGAGGAGGAAAGGGAAGGGAGAAGAGCCAAAGGCATGGAACCAGTCTTCTCCCCAGATGGCGTATTCGAGCGTTGCGATCACCTATATTTTTCAATTCAAGATTTACCGGAAATAAGGAGTGTGTGTACACTGATTGTCAATTGCTAAGGAACAGCTGATTTATGCAAAGTGACGTTCTTGACAGCTAACCAATAAGAGAAAGACCAAACGTAAAGGGCGTGGTTAAGCAGTATCCTTCATATGTTTAAAGATAGTGCACATTACCTTTCCATTCATTCGAAAATTCATGTCAGGAATTTGATCAAAATAGCACTATAGGTAGTTGAACTTATTTCTGTAAAATTCAGTGTGGTGTTGTAATAATTAAGTACAAGTTTTAAAAAAGATATCATTTGAATTCTTACGATCGTGGATGAGATGTAAGACTACTGAAAGCAGGTCAAAATGTCACCACCGTGGCAGCAGTAATCTCAAAAAGCGTCATCTCGTGATTAAAAAAGACCTCTGAAGAAGGGAATGCTATGTGATAGCATGCTAGTGGTCTTTGTATCCAAGTCGAAATTCTCGATGGTCCCATTAATACATTTTGATGGCTTATGTTGATTTCAGTGTGAATATCAATGTACATTTTTATACAATTGAGAAGAGGAGAAGAGGAAAAGGAGGCGTGTCAAGCCATGGTATAAGTCTTCTCCCCAGATGGCGTATTCGAGCGTTGCGATCGAGAAAGCAGAGTAAGAAAGGGTTAATTTTTCAGTAACTTGAAATTAACAATTTCTCTACTCTGTAGTTTTTCATGGGAGAAATCGATATACAATAAAACATAGCATACATAAAATACTACTAGACATAAAACAAGGTACACACTTCAGTACTACAATGCAATTAATCATTACTATAGAATACAATAAAGGAGGGCCATACCATTATGTCAACGTTTTCTTCTGTACTTCCTATAGGATTAAACAATGTACAATTTGTATCATATGGTTGGGGTAAGAGATGTTGCTCCACCTATGAAAAAATAGAGTCAACATTTTAAAAATAATATTGGTTGCACGGAAGTGAATGACACAGATCTTACGACAGGGTGGAATTCAATTTTGCAATAAGCACTGGGAACAAGTCAAATTTTTTGATGGTTTTCTATTAATAGACCAAAATAATCTTGATGGTAACCATCACCCCAATCTCGGTATTCGAACTGATTTATGATGGTCCAACTTGTTTTGATTATTCATTCATGGTGAACCATCAGAACTTTCCATCATAGTTTCTTAAAAATCAAATGTTGAAACTGTCATGAGCCACCATCACCCCAATGCAGGAATTTGGACAGATTTACGATGGGTCAACAAGAAAAAGCAAATAAATTGTTTTGATTGTTTATTCCCGAGAACCAACAAGATTTCCCATTAAACCATCATGGAAATGTATAGTTGGAACTCTCATGAACCATCATAGATCATCATCGATTGTTGGTCTATGAGAATCAAACTTCTCCTGATGATTAAGCATCATATTGTATTTAAGTAGCATTTTCCATCATGGAATGATGGAAGTTGTTTGGCAGATCAAAAACCATGAACGCATAATGGTAAATGTTGGAGATGGTGACCATCAAATGATGTTCGACCATTATGAATCGCTCTAAAACCAACATAACCATCAAGAACTTTAACTTGAGGAGTAAGGATACAAAATATATGCTAAGTACTCAGTATGTAACACTCCTATTACAGTAATGGTGGATTTATCAAAAACAATCTAATACACATGTTAGGAAAATAAATAGCTTTCCGTGGGTCTTTTAAGAACATGGATGTTTGCTTGAAAAAAAATCTTTTATCGGGTTCCTTATGCCTCTATCACACGAGAGAAAAATATGTGCAACTGCAAGTGTAACTGCAAGTGTAAGTGAAACTCTAAGCGCAATTCCTCCGTTCGGAGTTGCCGAAAGGGTTGCTTAATTGCCTGAACGGTTGCATGTAATTGGGTTACCATATTTTGTTATTTATCTTTACTTTTGGCTCATATTTTATTTTATCATATTTTATTATATCATAGTTTCTGAACGATGTTCGTAAAGGGAGGAAAAAGAAATCACAGACGCTGTAGAATATTGATTGATTTTGATTTAATTTTTTACATTTGTATTTGTGTTAAGTCTTTTTTTCAGCAGCAAATTAAAATTCTAAAAAACTTTATTTCCCCAATAGTGAAGTAGCATAGTATAAAAAGGATTATGATTTCTACCTCATAATATGAGATGATATTAAGATATCATTGAATTTCATGCTGCGTCCCTGAAAGGATAAGGGGGTGAAAGGGAGATGGACTTAAATACATGCTGCGTCTCTAAAAGGATAAGGGGGTGAAAGGGGGATGGACTTAAATACTATCTAGAATTTTGACAATTTTTTTTATCTTGATTTGAGTGACTAAGGTATAAAACATGGTGCGTAGCGTTTTTGAAAAGTGCTTAAAGGTGCTTATTTTCGATTTTCATTTTTTAAAGGCCCTTAAAGGTGCTTTTCTTAATGGGTGTTTTTAAAAGGTGCTTTATTTTCCCTTTTCGAAAATGAAATTTATGAAAGGGAATGTCGATTTTCGCCACGTATTATGTAAAAACGTGTTTTTCACATTTTTCTATTTCACGTTTTCAGAATTCATTCAACCACGATCAATTTCAGCGTACCGTCAGTCCATAGCGTATGAAAGCGCCAATCATTTTACAGGTTTGGTGAAGTACTTGCGAGTCCGCATGTGCGTCTAGTGAGCTGGGTTCGGTGAGATCCTTGCTTTCTCATGTGCAACTCTGCTGTATTTTGCAAGATATTCTCAATTTCAGGCTTTATTTTTCACCCTCTGAAATCGAACCGAAAAATCTCTTGATCATTTTTTAATGGCTAATATAATCAAGAAAAGAGTTCTTTGTCAAATTCTAGTTATTTTATCATGATCATGTGAAGTCTGAGATTTATTTTGCATTTTGTCAATTTACATAGTGCTTAAAAATATTTTTTGAGTGCCTAAAATGTTCTTAAAAGTTGCTTATTTTTTGTTGAATTTGGCTCCGCACCCTGTAAAAGCATAGTTTATTTATATATATTTACTATCTAACATGCTAGCTAGGCAAGTGCGGTATCGTTATCTATGTATACGCTAAATCGAATGAGAATAAAAACAAGCTGTCTGATTTAATAGTTTAGCTACTCGAAAATTTATAAAAGTTTCATGTGTAGAAAGGACAATTTTATGACTTATACCATTTTATGCAACTGACATTGCTATCTAAACAAGTAAGGCATTTCTTCAAATTTAATTTTTTAAGCTTAATTAAAAAACATAGTCCTTTGAAATAATTCTTTAGAAGAAATGAGGGTTTAATGTATGAAATATACAATTTTTGACTTTCCTTTTGCTCATAAAATATTTATAACATCAAAACTATTAGTTCTATCAAATCAATTCTATTTTTTTAATTTAGTCTAAAAAATACATAATAAATAATGTCTATACTACTAATGTCTATACTTGTCTATACTACAATGTGTCAGAATTTTATTGTCATCAAATTAATTTACATTGCATTAAGGAATCATCACGCCCGGTGGCTGAGCGGTAGCTCTTCGCGCTGTCGTGCCACAGGTCCCTGGTTCGATCGTCGGGCCGAGCAAGGTTGACTCAGCCTTTCATTCCTTCAGTGGGTCGATAAATGAGTACCAAGCATACTTGGGAGCTAAACACTGGGGGTTTCACGTATGGCTGACTACCTAACCGGAACAAATGCTCCTGCATCCCAGAGCCCAAAGGTCAAGAAAACTGAGATGGGCACAGAAGGCCTTGGCCCTCTGTGGGCTGTGCCGCTGAGTTTAGTTTAGTTTTTAAGGGATCATCAATTTTATTCATTTACACATTGCATATCAGGAGTATCACTTTTATGAAAATTATTTTTTCCAATTTCTTAGTAAAATTGTTTTTTAAATATAAGAGGATTTTCAATGTCATACTTACAATTTATTATTGTAAAATTTAAAACATTCTTTATTGATATGAGATAATTTAATTAAAAATTATAGGATTTATTTTAGGACAAATTTATTGTAATATACAGTATATAAATTAAAATTTATTTATAACTATGAAAAAAAAAAAAAATTTTATTAAGAACATACTTTTTATGTATCATATTATTTTGTTACAGACTTTTACATGTTTTGTTTTGCATTTTAAATAATACAAGAATCAATTTAAAAAACAAAACATTTATTGTCAAGTGAAACATTTAGAACATTATTCATTTTCATTTCTTATTTTTTAATTTCTTTCATAAAAACAGTATTGCATCTCTTTCCTTCTTCACCAGACAAACCTTACAGGATTATACGAAATATCTGAAATAAAAGAAAGAAATCACTTTCATGATAAAATTTTACCAACACATTATTAGAATAAGAGAGATTAAATACCATTAATTTGAAATCATTTAAGTCCTTAGGTATCCCCTTTAAACTTATTTTAAGTTTGACAGATATTTTGATTAGAGTTCTAAGATTATTCTATACACTAATGAAAGATGGCAGGTATATTTGGTTTTGTAGTTCTTATGTTTGGATTGAAATTTGTTTTAAGAAAAATAGATTGTATTTATGATCGAAGACTATTAAAAATTTATGTATATTGAAAAATTAGTAAGGTACACTTACATACTTACTGTCATTGTAGAAAAGCTAAGTATCAAAATATAAATGTGAAGTATAAATAAAAAGTAAAGTATCATTAGTAAATCATCACACACACAAAAAAAAAAAAAATTGAGGGGATGAATGTAGAAACAGACAAGGAGATTGGAAATTTGCATTTTAGATTTTCAAAAATTAAAAGAATTCTTAGGGAAGAATAAAATAATTAATTCACAAATAATTATAATAATAAAAAAATTTCAAATAATCGGACACATGCTTTTACAATCAACAGTAATAAAGTTTAAAATTTGAAAATAAAGAAATATAATCATTATTATATTTTATGTTATAATAATGTAACAAAGTTTGGCGAGTTGCTTGGCGAATATTTCAAAGTAAAGCTTTTCGCCAGTATAAATCTTTACATATATAAAAATAGAAATTATTTCTATTTAAAGTAATTAAAACTTTGATCGGAACAAATTATAATAAGTTTTAATTTTATTAGCTTAAAATAAATAAATATTTTAAAAGAAAATTTATCTAGAAAATAGTGTACTATACTCACCGATACTAAAATGATGTGCAGGTTCCTGTTATGGTAGTACATCAACTGCATTGAGATGGTTATTTCATCGTGTGAAAGTATTTTTAATGCTTTGATTTTAAAGAAAATGTTATTATTAAACTAAAAAACTGTTCCGTTTCGTCTATAAAAAAATTTCATCCGATCATCCTCTTCACCAACGTCGCCGCCATTTTTATTTACATTTGTATACGTCATCACATAAAATTGAAACGTCATAAAAGCAAACGATCTGATTGGTTCATGAAAGAAATTGCCTGAACGGTTGCAGATATTTCGTGCAACCGTGATTTCTATATCACACGAGCAATTTTTGGAGAAATTTCACTTACAGTTGCACTTACACTTGCTTGCAGTTACACTTGCAGTTGCACATATTTTCTCTCCTGTGATATAGCCATAAGTTTGTAATTGGAGCACGTATTTAATGAAATCCAAAGTTAATTATTTTTATGGTTATATACACTCATTTTTGAGATAAAATTGTCCATAAATAATCGTGGTCGGCTTAATTTTAAATCAGCTTTTTACTATGCGAAGGGTATTCCTAATGCAATATGGTTAGTTCTTAAAATGTGCGCTGCCTAATCTAAGGTGCTATCTGATATTTAAAAAAAAACATGTTTTTTTAGTTTTTTTTTGTAAAATCTTATCTTTTTGCTGTCAATAGATATAGGCCTACAACGAATGGACATTTTCCTCTTGAGACGGCTCACGGTGCTGGTTTATGCTCGAGAGATGCACGGATAGCCAGGCAAAGGATTGGGACATATTATGGCAATGCGTATGAATGTGTTGGAAAGAAGACGCGAAACTCATTCGCCATTCAACCAACTAGTACGCAGCAGAGAAAGGAATGAAATGTGCCTGGTTATCATAATTAATTCCGATACGGTTACCATATCTGCCTCTGTATGTGACGTTTCTGGTTATCCTGTATTGAGAACTTTGGTGGTGGCTTCCACTCCATTTCTGTGACAAATAGGTATCGATCCCTTGATTTTTTAAGACAAACCAAGCTATCCAACAATGATTAAGACAGTTCCCTTCTACACTATCCGGCCAAAAGTATCCGGACACCCAGTGGTACAGACAGCATCCTGAGGCACATATTAATATGATGTTGGTCTCCCTTTATCATCGGTGACAGCCTGCACACGTCTGGGAAGACTTTTCACCAGTTTTTCATGGGTGGCCATAGAAATTGACTTCCATCACAGCTGAAATGAATGCTTGCAGTGAGGAGGGTCAATTTGGCTGGCTACGCAATCTGCGCTCTAATACGTCCCAGGGAATTGAGCCCTCACCTCCCAATATGGTCACCCGGGTTCAAATCCCAGCGATGACTGGTCGATCCGAATTGCGCACGAAGCTTGCACCGACCACAGTGCTAACGTAAAATATCTTTGATGGCCGATGGATCATGGATCCGAGTGTCCTTGCAGTCAGGTTAACAGTGGGAGGTTTTCGTAGTTTTACTCTCCATATAACGCAAATGTGGGTAAGTTTCATCAAAAAAGTCCTTCACTGAGGCAAATTTCTTTTAACACTTAATTCAGGAGTTTCCTTCTCTTTTGGATCGTGTTCAAAAGGTTGCGGAATTGAAAGTTAGTAGTCGTAAACTCAAAAATTCGATCGACTGTTCAACGTCTGTTAGAAAACTTAGCTTCAAAAAAATTTGGGCTAATACGCAAAACAGCTTCAAACTTAAGCTTTTCTTCCACATTCCCGTTGTTTGAGCTTCGAAATGGTATCAAAAATTGAAAAATTTATTACAATTATTTTTATATTTGTAATCGTGCCAAATCTCTAAATGACTACCCCTTGGCATTTTCTTAAATTAAATTTTTAAAAAAAGACTCGGCTCTTTTTTTAGTTCAGGTAAAAAATATTTTATTTTATAACCGTCAATGAACAGCAGACCCAATTTTAGGTTTACGACTATCAATGTTCAACTCCGTAGCCTTGTAATTTAGAACCCAATCCAGAAGACAAGGAAGCTCCTGGATCAAGTATTGGGGGGAAATTTAGCTTCGTGGAGGACTTTTTGATGAAACTAACCTCCATTTGCGTTGCATAGAGTGGAAAACCGCAAAGAGACAGCAAGGGGACTCTTACTCATGAACCATCTACCTTTGAGGATACTTTACGTCAGCACTGCTGTCAGTGCATGCCGAATTCTTATCGACCAGCTATTGCTGGGATTCGAACCTAGTTCACCTCATCGTAAGTCGAACGCTCAATCAACAGCTCTGGTGATGAATATTAAAAGAAATAAAATCTTGCATTACAACTACGGCTAACTCCAGTCAAGAGGAAAATCTCCAAATAAGAGAGGCGTTAAAGGCCCCTGGATTGTAAATTATCGAGTAGATCAGCAGTTGCCTACCGTTTGAGCACTGCTGATCTAGTTAAGTAGTAGATGGTAGTTGATAACTGAAATAAGAGAGGCGAAAACATTGTTTGTTCAGTCCACACAATGAAGTTAGCGGAGTTTCTTGTCTGGAATTCATCCAGTTCTTTGGGACATTATGATTCACATAATTTATTATGCAAATAATTATGCAAAACTAGTAACAAAAAAAAATATAATTTAAAATCTAATGAGATATCATCATCCATAAGATTTGCATGTGAATTCACTAGAGTGATCACAAACTTGAAAGGAATGCAAGGCATTTCACAAAGATGGAGATTGTACTAGTGACCCATGAACTGCAATGTCCTCATACGCCGCTAGAGGAACTCTAGTTCATGTTATTTTAACCTTTTCTAATGATTATAGAGTCAAAAGTTGTTTTTAAATCGATCGGCAATTAAATATTTTATCAAACTTAATGATTTGGCGTGTACCTTGTGCAATTCGTGTTCTTGGCTGGAATAAAAGAACCAAAAAAAACAGCCTGTTTATATATGAGGAAGCTCCTCTTGTGTCATACGATGCAAGCAATTCTTGATCCTTATCCATTTTACCTTCTCTGCAAATTTAAAATCGCTCTCTTGAATTAATTTGTAGATAAAAAACGAAGATTTGACTGAAAAGCAGTTGACCTCCAACAATACCTGCTTTTTAAAGGCCATGACAGAGAGCTGGTATAACATTTACATGTAAAAACTTCAAGAGTGCCCACAGACTGAAGAAAGATAAATGTCGTGACCCCTATTTTGGATGATGTGTATATTATAGGAAAAAGGTTTTAGACCCTAATGTCTACAAATCGCAAGTATAAACTCTCAATCAGGTTTCTTTTCATGTGGGAAGGGGATCAGCTCGTGATTGCACGACAGAAGTTTCGTGATTTCTCTTTATATTTCGTAAACAATACTCACATATTCGGTGACTTTAATAAAATGATGTCCTGGCACTAGAAGCTTAATACCATGTTTGAAAGGATTCACAAGTCTTCTGGAATCGTGCATTGAAAAATAAATGGCTGGTTTAGCCCTAGGATCAATATATTCATCCGAATATACTCTCAACCAAAAGATGATATCTGCGAGACATAAAATTTTATATCATTTTCATTTCAGGACTTATAAAATGCATATTTTATTTTTAAGGATAAGAACAGGATTTTGAGGGTAAGGACTTAATGGATGGCAGGTTCAAAAGATTACAGCCGAAATAAGCAATACTTTTAAATGAAGTGTATATATATATATATATA